ATAATTAAAGAAAATATCTTGCTCTTAAAGATTAAAAAAAAAGACAAACTAAAAAAAATGTTGTTAAAAAATTTAATGTTCCTCAAAACGCTTTAACTTACTGAATTAACCAACTATTTCTGGTGAGGAAAGGTTGAGTACAGAGAAAAAGACATCAAGATGGGAGCAAACCAATTTGCTCACAATCCTCTCAAGGTATGAATTGAGGGATATTTATAACGTTGATGAGTTTAGTTTATTTTATCAACACCCTTCAATGAAAACCTTTCATCTAAAAGGTGAACAATATGCAACAATATGAACAATTTTTATTGGTAATGTAAGAAGGTTTGATTCAAAGTTTCATGCTGAGGGTAAAAAAGTTGCTCTAATCATAGATAACTGGCCAGCTCATCCTAATGTTGACAATCTCAAAGCAGTTGAATTAGTAATTTTACCAACAAACACAACCTCCAAAACTTAACAAATGGACCATGCATTAAAAGCTTTTTATAACATAGTCATGGGATGCTGTATCGACAAACACTGTAGTGAATTGTTTTAGAAAGTCAAAAATGGATGATTTTTTCAAAGATTTTAATTTTTTATTTTAAATTTGTTTTTTTAGAAAGTAAAGACTTAAAGTTTTTTTTGAATTCTCTACTTCTGTTAAAATTTGATAGTAACTTGAAATACCTCACTTTAAAGAAGGTTTTCAGTTAATCGAACTTTCAGTTATTCAAAGCAGTGACGAACCCAGAGTTTATTTAGGAATACCACTTTTTTTTCAGCAATGTTGGGAGGGAGGAGGGGTGATGTTCTTAAGATTACTGCCTCACTTCTCCCCTTGTTAACACCGATGCCGCAACAATGATTTTTAATCATCATTGTTTTAATCATTTTAATCATTTGTGTTTGTCTTGTTTAGTTTTATCCGAAGATAAGGGATTGATTTAAAGGCATTTCTTTGAATAAATGGATTTACCATTAGACGTAAACATGTTACTTTAGTTACAATAAGAAAACTTTTTTACTTAAGAATTTAACCATTTTCGCTATTTGTAAATAATTATTGAAATTTGTTTAAAGTATTTTAACATTTATTAACTATATTTTAGTAAATTTAATATTAGTAGTTAACAATGTTTTAAATAATTAGTAATTAAAGGTTTAAATACTCTAAATAATTTTTTATCAATATTTACATCACATAATACAAATTGTGTAATATTTGTAAAAATAACAAAACAGCTTTACGTTTTGTATTCAAATAACTATTCGAATAAAAAACATAAACATTTAATAAATATTTTAATTTTAAAATTTTGATTTAAATATTAGCAAATCTGTTCATTTAACTTTTACTAAAGGTTAATAATTTTTAAAGTGATTTTGTAGTGCCTTTTAAATTAAAGATAATTAAAAAAGAGATAATTACTGTAAACATAATTTATTAAAATGATACAGTTTTTTGATTAAAAAACATTTTTTTATTCATTGAGTATAATTTTAAAAAATTACGTTTATTAAACAAGTTAAATTTACTATGGATTTTTTAAAACATTAAAAACATTGAAGTTTAAAAATAACTAGATCTCTAAAAAACTTGTATTAATTTATTGTAATCGTTATTTTATTATTAGTCAAAAAGAATATGGAAAAGAAATAAAACTTTCTGAAAAGTTTTGTTTCTTTTCCAGTTTACGTTATAGACTTAAATTTTTTACTTTTGCTCATTTATTATCAAAAGCAGTTCACTCTTAATGTCAAAAACATAAGTTAATTTTAATATAAATGGATATTTTAAAATTGTTCTATTTTTCGAAAAAGCAAATTTTTTATACATTCCTTTGTTATAAAATTTCGTAACAAATTTTAAAAATTAAGTTAGGTAAATCATTTTTTTAAAACATTTAGTTAGCAACCGAAGGACATTTACGTCACATAATTACATGAAAAAAGCAATTGCTTTTTAATTCATTTTATTGGAGAAAATATGAAATAGATAAAATAAACTGAAAATTATTTACATACCATAAAATTGCCAAAGTTCAGTCACTTAAGCTTTGAACATTTATTTATTACGCATAAATATAAAATTTTCAATTTTTTTTCCTGAAGCATACAGAAAATTATATTGACAACTGATATTGTAAAAATAAAAAAATGAAAAATAAAAACTAGTACTAGTATTTAATTTAAAATGAAAATATCTACTTTGACCGAACTTTAAATACCATCTCATAAGTTTGGCCACTATATAAATCCTAATAACATATCACAAACTTAATGTCATAAGTAATGAAAACTAATTTTTAAATGTTGTTTTATTGTGAAATTATGATATAAATTCAGGTAATACCAGTAACTAAAGAGGGCGTTGCTCCGGGCTCAAAAAAAAATTCTTTGGGGGCACCAAAGAAAACAAAAAGGAGCACATAAAAAAAAGTTTTTTTTAAATATAAGTAGTAGTATTTTTCATTTTTATAGTAGGTACTATTTCATTACTTTGGGCATTATCACTTTTGCTACGCCACTGGTTAATAAAATTAAAAATATATTTTTCAATTAATTTAAAAAGATTTTTTCAATAAACAAAAAAACACTTCTTTGCTTTAAATAAGCTTTGTATGTTTATTGGCAATTCTTGCACGTATCAATAACCATAGTAAAACAGCAAGATCTACACAACCAATCGTCACAGGATTCACAATGCATCCATAATTGTTGTTAAGCTGTAATTTTATCTCCAAAAAAAAGTCACAAACTTGACATTTTTTAGAACTCAAAGAACAGTCAGTTAATTTTACAACTATGAACAAATTTTTTATTCAAATAAAATACCATGGTGTGTATCTATTATAAAAATGTCAAAATTTACTGGTAAAGTTACAGGTTAAATTTACATGCACAACACTTATCAATATTTCACAATATTACTGCAAATTGTCTCCTTCGTTAAACATTATTTTTTTTTTTTATAGATTCATATTTACGAAATAATTAGAAATATTATTTGAGAAAAAAAGTTTGTAAAATTTGAGTTTTGCATGCTTTTTTATATTTTTTCTTAAATGACCAAAATTTTTATACTTTTTAAAAGAACAGAAGAAAAATTAAAAAATTAAATAATTTTTTGAAGTCTAATTTTTAGCGGGTCTGGGTTCGTCCCTGCAAAGTAAATTCTTGCTACCCTTGGAGGTTCAAATAATCACGAGTTTAAAACATTCTTGATTTCGCATGAAGTTCCTCCATAACTTTTACACCACATTTAACATTTTGGTTAAACTGACTTCTTGCATTTTGTCTTAATGAGTGAGGTAAACATCTTGCATTCTCAAATTTGGTGTAAATTTGGGAGTTTCTTCCAGCTGATTTGAAGTTGTTTTGTAATGACGGTATGCTTGACATAATATATTGAAATCACCTTGCCATCTAGGTCTCTGCCTGCATTAACATAATTTGTTTCGCTTCAGGCTGATAACAAATTCAGGCTGATAAAAGTTCATAACATGCTTCAAAAAGAGGTAGATGTTGACAGCACCATGTACTCGACATGGTATTGACAGCACCATGTACTCGACCACCTGTGGCTTTAATTTTAGAAGCCAAAATATAATGATATTATCCTGTATGAGCTTTACAATCCCGTGTAATCGGCCAGTATTAATTGCAGTCATGCCACAGATTATTATGCCCTTTTTCGCCAAGAATTGTGTTCATCTTTTAGCTGAAGTGTGTTCCTTGCAAATGGTAATGGCAGAACCACTCTTACCATTTTTTTCAGCATAACTACTCAATACTCTTCCCTTGCAGTCTTTTACCATGAAACTAAAGACAATCTTTGCTTTAAAGTTTTAGAACATTTCTGTGTTTCATTTTCTGTCCTTTAGAGATTACTCATTTTGAGACACCTGCTTGATTTGGAACCAGCACATTATGACCTTGTTCAACAATGGTTGCAGGAACATCTTGTGCTTTATGTATAGAAATGTTGCTTTTCAGGAGAAGATGACATAGAAGAAGTGGTTAAGTGACTCGGGTGAAGAAGCAATGGTTTCAAAAACCTTTTGATTCTCAGTTTTATGTGTTTATGCTGATTGAGATTGAGAAAAGTGGGTTTGAGGTTGAGTTTTTAATAGTCAGATTCAATTTCCTAGGTGGATTGATTTGAAAGGGCGTGTTTAACCATTAAATAACCAATCTTTCCTTCACTTTTAACTTCACTCTAATAGAGCTCTTTATCCTCAATGCTTTTCTATTCTTTATTAATGTTGGTGACATCAAATAACTGAGAAAGTGTTGCAATGAATTTATCAGACAATTTTTATTTTGTTTTTGTCATATAGATCAATCAGACTATTAAGTTTTTTTAAGACTATTATTGGAAATATTATTAAGACTATTAATGGAAACAGCTTACTAGAATGTGCTAAAAGGCAGTCTAGAATGTCATATAAAAATTCAGTTTGAAATTGAAACTGCTAGTCAAACCGCACAATGTGTGAACAAAGTAAATAAAAAAATGGTGAACCTTTTTTCAACTTTTTTAAAATTAATGCTGTCATCTGCATTTAATTATTCCTCAAATATTAGGGGTTTAGTTTTATTATGAAAAATAATGATAATATTATATATATATATATATATATATATATATATATATATATATATATATATATATATATATATATACATATATATATATATATATATATATATATATATATATATATATATATATATATATATATATATATATATATATATATATATATATATATATATATATATATAAATGCGTGTGTTTAAATAACTTTGAGTCATTAGTTTAGCATAAAATGTCATTGATATATCTATCTATTTCTCTCTCTCTCTCTCTCTGTATATATATATATATATATATATATATATATATATATATATATATATATATATATATATATATATATATATTATATATATATATATATATATATATATATATATATATATATGTTTGTGTGCATAAATATACATACCAGCTGGGTGCCAGGTTATATCACAAAATAAAGGTCCACCTTGACTCATTCTATCAAATCTAGCTACTAAGTTCACTGCTCCATTAGGTGTACGAGGTGGAAAAAACTCTAGTGAAAAAAACTTTTTTTTTTTGCCAATGTGTTTATGTATTTTTTCAATTAGTGTTTGTGACTTATCGAGTAGCCTTGTTTCTTCAAGACTTGGCTCAATGAAATTAACCATTTTCTATTGAGTTTCTAAAAATTGTAATCTAATTAAATAACAAAATAATTTGATTTTAACCAAATTTTATTATCAAATAAACTAATAATATACTATATTTATATAATTACACAATAACTATACACAATAACTAACTGAAATAGATATAACTATTTCAATTAAGTGTTTTAAATATTTATACTATTCAAATGTATACATAAGTATATAAACTAGTAACAAACTAACTAATTACAACATTAAACTTAAAAAAAAATATTTTTATTATAATTATTAAAATAATGATAACAATTTTAATTAATTTTTTTTTTTTTAAGTAAGGATATACATATGTGTATAAAGTATACTGCACTTAACTAAGTATAATAACGTATAGCCTTATTATTATAGTAGAATATCTACATGTTATACTACTAGTGTAAGTACTATTACTAAGTAATATTACTAGTTAATTATTCATTTGTATTATTAGCACGTAATGCTAGTAATATTTAGCTAGTATAAGTTACTAATTATTAATACTATTTAACTACAACTTTTGAAATATATAAACATGTTTAAATATAATTACAACTTATAGGCTAAACTTTAATGTAACGTGAAAAAAAAACGAAATTTAAACCTAAAATATTAGTTTAAACTTAGTATTAGTAGTACTATCTACTAAAACGAATACTAGCTAGTTACTGTGTTTTGTGTATAATAATAAAAAATACTAGTTATTAAATTGTAATGGTATTAACTAGAAATACTACTAGTTAATACTATTAGTTAATAATTAGAATTTACAAATATTTGTGATGGCAAACTTTATTATGTAGAATTTAAATAACTTTATGTTAAAAAAAGTCACGTTAGGCATATATGTTTTATCACGTTTTTGTCACGTTTTTGTCATTTAATTTTATAGAAAAAAAAATCGGAAACTTTCAACTCACTAACAAAACATTTTAAAATGTATCTTTTTATATTACTGAATTTTAATTAGCTTATTTTACTTTTGCTAACTTTTTAATTTACAACTTCATAAGCGAAAATTAAATGGTTATTTCAAACTATATGCATATAAATATCCACAATTTAAACCTAATCAAAAATTTACAACAAACTTTGCTAATTAGTGAAGTAATAACGGGTTTGGTGAAAAAATTTTAAACCAATCAGAAACCTTAAACTAATCAAAACTTCAAACTAATCAGACCTCGCCGAAAATTATCAGACTAAGAATCAATTAATACATTATTACATTCGATATATACATAAATATTTAAAATACATACAGAATACATTAAGATACAATACACATTTCGTTCCCGATGTATGTATTGTATTTTTATGTATTCTATACATATGACTGGGGCTAGTTGCAACAGTGCCTTTTAAAAAATGGTTTTATTTACTTTTTCCTAATAATTTTAAATTATGTAACAATAATAATAACACTTCACCTTTAAAAAACTTATTTTAATAAAATAAATATGCAAAAGTTTTTTATTAAATTTTTTTTTTATTTTTTGTTTTGTTGTTATAAAATCTAATTTACGTTTTCAAAATCTTTTTTGATTGTGTTGTAAACTAAATGGTATGTAAACAATCTAAGAATATTATTCAGTGATCCAGGAATTTTTTGAGGATGGGGTTGGAGGGGGAATATTGAAATATTTTTGTATTTTGTGCCACATTAGCGTGTCCTAAAAAAAAACCTTAATTTCTAAGATATTTCAGGACTTTCAGATTCTGGTGAAAGTGGGGGATGAATACATTATCCTCTCCCCTCCCCGATCTGTCACTGATAATATTATTAGACAAAATAAATAACAAACTAATTACTTTCCTGAGGACTCTGCAAGACTTATTTATTTCAAAACATTGCAGCTTACATAATTTTATTTTCCATTAAATAATTGAAAGAAAATAAAATTAATAAATATATTAGCCCTTCATTCTCATACCATTTAGAAATGTTACGTCAATTAACTAATGCCAGAACAAAACCAGAAAATCAAGGTATTTATTATACAGTTCATTTATACTTCATTTTGTTTCAAAAAATAAATTTTTTGAAACAAAATTAAGTATGAAGGTTTAAAAATCTATAACTAATTATAAGAGAGCCATGGCTAGGCTCCCCATACCTTCCAAATTAAGGGTGGGGTGGAGGTGATAGCACTGTGAATTTAGGGGGCTCATTAGCAAATTTAGGGGGCCTTTTGCATATGTAAGAAAAAAAAATTTGTTTTAGTAATACCTAATGGAAAAATTTTTAATATTTTGGGGTCCTTATGACAGGTTTTGGCGTGGGGGTCTTAGACACAGTTGCCACGGAACTGAATAATGCATAGACATTTATTTTATCAATTTTACTAAATCTTTACTAATTACAACCCAAACGACATATTCTTGTTTAAAAAAGTACATAATATGCCATAATTAAATATATGTGACTACAAGGCAAAATAAAACAAGCGAATAGACTTGGTGTAGCAGACTTAGTGCAAATAGGAAATCCCAGATGGAATGGAAACACGTTATGCAAATTATGAAATCGCAATGGAAACACGTTATGCAAATTTTTTTATCGGATGAAACTTTAATATATATATATATATATATATATATATATATATATATATATATATATATATATATATATATATATATATATATATATATATATATATATATATACATATATATATATATATATATATATATATATATATATATATATATATATATATATATATATATATATATATATATATATATGTATATATGTGTATATATATATATATATATATTTATATATATATATATATATATATATATATATATATATATATATATATATATATATATATGTATATATATATATATATATATATATATATATATATATATATATATATATATATATATATATATATAGCTGTTTGCTTTTATTCATCTTAATAATATATATATATATATATATATATATATATATATATATATATATATTTATATATATATATATATATATGTATATATACATATATATATACATATATATATATATATATATATATATATATATATATATATATATATATATATATATATATATATATATATATATATATATATATATATATTTATATATATATATATATATATTTATATATATACATATAGCTGTTTGCTTTTATTTATCTTAATAAAAAAAATATATATATATATATATATATATATATATATATATATATATATATATATATATATATATATATATATATATATATATATATATATATATATATATATATATATATATATATACAAAAAACAATAATATATAATTTAAAATATAAAAAACCTTTTATACCCATAATCAATTTTTTTTTTTTTTTTTTTTTTTTTTTTTTTTTACCGTTATTTTACTTTTTTCGTATTTTCTTAAAGTTATGTTAACTGATATTCAACATCTTTTTCTTTTTATTCAGCTTACAATTATCTTTTTTTTTTTTTATTCTTTTAGTTTAAACAAACAAATGCTAGCTTTTTTTTCAGCTTCTTTTTCTTTTTTGTTAACTCAAGCTATGATCAAAAAACCACATTTAAAAATCTGCTAGTCAAACTATCTTTTAAACTATCTATTAACCTATTAAAAATTTATTAAAAAAACAAACATCTGAACCAAAAATCTGAAAAAAACATCTGAATCATTATGGTTGCAATCGCTATAAATCTGAAAAAAAATCTTTATTTTTTATGAAGTGTTAAGAAAAGCAGAAAACAAATGCCACGCCCGAGGTGCTGTGACGTAAATTACGGTGTAAAAAGACGGATTTTAATAATTACCTCCTTAGTTCTGTGCTATCCACTTTTTAAAAAATTTAGAAAAAATTATATACGAAAAGACATACAACTTTCTAGTTACTTCCTGGTTAATTTACTTTATAAAAACCAATTCGGCTTTAAAAAAAACAGTTCAAGTGAACAAGCCATTGTTCAGTTCACACGTGAGGTCTCAAAGTCTTTCTCACAATATTCACTTTGCGTTTTTATCAATTTATCAAAAGCTTTTGACACAGTCAATCACGATATTTTACTTAAAAAACCTGAATTCAACGGAATAAGTGTTAAATTGATAAAATGGTACAAAAGCTTGTCGAATAGGAAGCAATTTATCTACTATGCGGATGAATTATTTTCTATTAGTCTCAAAACTAAACATTAATTTAAATAAAATGTGGTGTTCCACAGGGTTCTATTCTTGGTCAACTCTTTTTTTTAGTATGTATAAATGATTTAAATAAATCTTCTGATCTTATGAGCATCATTTTTGCAGACAATACCAATCTATTTTTATGAGATAAAGACATAAACAATTTTTTCTTAAACATGAATTAGGCATTTATACAAATTTCTACTTGGTTCAAATGCAATAAATTAACCTTAAATATTGGCAAAACAAAAAAACGTTTTTTGCTTTATTAAGTTCCTTAGTATTTACCTTGATAAAAATCTGTCATGGAAAACTCATATTAAATACTTATCAACAAAAGTTGCAGAAAATATTGGAATTTTATATAAGGCTAAAAATTATTTAAATAAAAATAATTTAAAACAACTATACTACTCATTTATTCATAGCTATTAAAACTATGCGAATATTACCTGGAGAAATACAGGTAAAAGTAAGTTACGACGTCTTTATCAGCATCAAAAACATGCAATGCGTGTAATATATTTTTCAAATCGTTTTTCAAATACGAAAGTTTTATTTAAAGATATGAGCGTTTTAAATATTTATGAATTTAACATTTATAATAACATTATGTTTTACGTTTTGTAGCATGAATAACCCATTATTAAATGTTTTTAAAGGTATATGCACCCTTAAAGCAAAAAATAAATATAGTTTGCGAAATAATAGCTTTTTTAATGAACCTTTTTTCAAACAAAGTTCAATCAAATTTGTGTAACTCATCGAGCTAATTTGTGTATCTCAATCGAGCATCGAGCAAATTTGTGT